TCTCTATTCACATGCTGCAAGCTAGAAATGCTCATTAGCGCTGGATCATGGCCCCAGCTGAGCTGCTAACACACTTCAGCTAGAAAGCCAGGCTGGAGAAAAGGTGGCACTGAAACCTTTCATCGTGGTTGCACCATCACTGGCTGACCAGCTCCAGGATCTCCCACCCAAGTGCTGCTGCTCCAACGGCAACGGGTTGTCCATTTGGCAGCAGAGGCACGACCCGCTGAGCTGCGACAATGTCATCATTTAGAGCTGGTTAGGTGATGAGCACAGCTCAAAATACACCACATCCAAGTGCAACCTCTGGAGTATTTTCTGCTTCAGCATCTTTCCAATAAATGGTGAATGGGGAATAACGTGATTGCCACGGTTTCTGAGATGCTGTTGAGTCCTGTAACACTGCGTGGTGAGTGTTGGAGGAATTACACAGGGCTTTTCAGACCTTTATGTCACTTGTTAAAACATGGACTGATCAAGCTTTGAAAACCAGTGTTGGACATGGTTTCTCTGCTTTCCTAGGGCTGGAGTGTTGCTTGGGATGTGGGGCAAATAAGTAAGACAGATTAATGCTTTCTGCTTTTACTGCACGTGAGCCACAAGGAGAGAGAAGGGAACAGGACCTCTTTTTTCACTGTCTAGCACTGAGTTAGTGGGCTGTCATAGTTCAGTGCCAATACAAACCAGCAGATCCCTCCTGACCAAGGAAATGGGAAATTTTGTGACTCAGAGGGAACATCTCTATGTATCCTGGGGAAATCCTTGGCAAAGCTGCCTTAAACATGGTGGCTTGCTCAGGTCTGTGCTGAAGATCACAGCCCAGACTAAACAGCCTACCACTCTTGGTTAAAGTATCCCAGATGAAAAGACACATTTTAAAACAAAATGCTTTTAATAGAGTTTTCTCCAAAAAAATCATTACGTCCTTCAACTTCTCAACAAGTATGAGCCTCACACATCTTCCCTGCCTCCTCTGGAATTACTAGGTCATCAGAATTAATGAAGAGATGAAAGATTCAGCAGAAAGGCAAAATCTTCCTGGAAAAAATATTTCTTAATATCAAAAGCAATTCAAGAATAATTAATAAATCTAGCAGAATAATAAACAAGCGCAAACTGCTTGATGCTTAAAAGAAGGCACATGAAGGAGGACACAAGACTTCGGGGTTATTTTTTTCTTTAAAACACCAATTCATTTTAAAAAGTGAATGTTTCCTTGTGCTTCTGGGGCTTGATGTAAGTGGGATTTTCACTGCCTAAATTTTTGCAATAGCTTAAAGTCAGCTAATTAGCCAAACTCCGTCAATGCATAAAGTGGGGGTGTCTTGGCTTCTCACCTTTTCTGCTGGCACAGTGGTGGGGGCAGTGCTGCAAGCCCTGGCCTTTGGAATTCATCCCACAAGACAGATGAGTTACACTAAAACACTCTTCCCCATGTGCCCATCCACAACCAAACCTGCTACTTAGGACTGAAGAAATGGCAGTGATGGCTAACTTGGAGTTGACTTTGAGCAAGGGATGAGAGAGGAGGAAAGGTGGCTGGGGGTTAAAATAAAATAAATACATATTCAAAATAAATTGCTATGCGTAATTCAGCTGAACTTTCTTGTAGGAAACAAAGATGTCTCATTTCTTTGTGATATAGATTGTCATTTCTCCATGGCAGTGGCTCTGAAGAGCTGCTCTGGCTGATAGAAACATAGAAGGGCTGGTAATCTGTAGCTCTACATCCACACTAGTCCTGATATAATTATATGAACCTTTCTATTGGAAAAAAAAATATTTGTCAGAAACTCTCTTTTAAATAGTCTTGAAACAGATACTTCCTCAGTCCTACCTATACAGTAGGATGAACTCTTGGCAATTCAAATAGTCTAACAGAATATATGGGATCCTCTAGCACTCCCACACCACTGCTAATAGAAGAAAAAAATCAATATTAGTTCCGATATGAATGGAGTGTTGGATTGACTGAACAGGGAGCTTTGAAATAAATATCTAAGAAATGTTTGGATGAAATGGACATCTTTACAGACATTTGGTCTGCATTTCTGAAATGTAGATTATTAAATCCACATTGTTGGCTTCTTCCCCCTCTGCACTATGTCTTTCTTTACATCTTGAAAAAAATTTATGAACAAAGTTATTGTAAATCTGCAATGTCTGTCTTGTCACTTAGATTCTTTTCAGAAACTCTGCCTTGCCAATGTAGATATACAATCCTGTATGATTAATATTTATTACTTATAATTCTAAATACAATGGAAGGTCACCAAAAATACCCTGCCTAAAGGAGTCTGGAGCCCTTTAAAATCTCACTGCTGATGGATCCTGAGTCTTGAGAACTGAGTTTAAAATCTTAGCAAAACACTTTTCTATGTAGAATTTCCAGTATTTCCTGCTTCTGACTATGGCTGCAGCTAAAAAGCACAAAGGTGAGAAAAAGTTACAGATCTGAAAACACGAGCTTAAATTTCAAACCCAAACAAAGGTCAGGGAATACCTGAACCTATCTGTAATCTTGGATCAGCCTATAATAGAACTATGAGTAAAATGCAAAGTTAGGATTCAGAGTGAGACTTGAATTCACATAGAATGCACACGGTAGCTGAAAACGGTTTAATTTTCCTCTTATTCTTTCTTATGTCAATCAATACATTTTATCTAGATTTCTGGGGGTATTGTCAGAAAAATGAAGATATTTAAAGAATTTTTTTATTATTATTAATTAAATGGAAAATATGTTGGGGATTTTCAGATTTTCTAATGAAATCCTAAAAAGATTTTAAGAACATGTAAATCACCTCAAGCAGCTCTTTGCATTAACAAACCAACTTCTTTTTGGTATAAGCCCCAGCATTTTTAAATTATTTTTTTTTTAAAAAACAGATGTAATTTGAGATCACTGAGATCAACGGATTGTGACTTGACCCTCTTCTAGCAAAACTAAAATAAAAAGACATACTAGAACATTTCAGAACAATGGGATTCAGCAAACTGGTAAAGATTCAGAGCGATGGAAATCAGGTCTGACCCTGAACTGATTCACTTACTCTGCTTGAGATCTGCTGCACGTTTGTGCAATCTTCTCCAAGGAGCTAAATATAATATGTGCAGACCAATAATCTGCATCTTCATTCAAAGATTCACTGCAAATGTGATTAAGCAAAGCCACTAATTAAAGTACAAACCTGGAAAAAAGAAAACTGAGAAAAAAAAAAAAACTAGATTCTGTTGATCAGCATGCTCCTTGTCAAATTCTACTGAAAGACAAAAAAATCCCAGTGACCATTATTCAGACAGAAGACTTTTCACTAGAAATGAATTTGCAGAGCACTGCTAATAACACTTTTCTCAACAGACAGAGCCACCTTGACCAGTGGGCTGAGTGAAAACAAAACCAGAAACACAGATGGAAAGGACTGGGTCCATAAATAAATAAATAACTGCCTTAATTTACCGGGAAAAAAAAAAAAAAAAAAAAAAATCACAAATAATTCCAATCTCATGAAGAAATGTTTTTAACAAGCCACATGTGCTTGCGCAGACACTTCTAATCTCATTACATTTTTCTGGCTGCTATTAGTGTTCTCTGAGCCAGCTGATTTCTCAGCAATATTTTAAAGAGTGTGAGTCGTTGCCCTCCTGTCTAGCCGTTGTGAAAATAGCCTGTTCTAGGGGAACACTTGGATGTCCATGGATTTTCTTCCAAGGTTTAGGAAAGTTCAGAACAAATTGACCATTGCATGCAAAACAATAGTCAACCACAAGCTATCTTCACAGTCAATGAGCAACATTCTGCTCCCAGCTGGGTTAGTGTGAAAAGTGGAATAATCCCACCAAAGCAACAGGATGGCTTCAGATTGTCATCAGCATCACACGGCAGAGGCTGGCTTTCGATGTTGTCTCCGTTCCTCATGCTCTCTGGCTGCAAACAAGCTTGCTACGAGGTTCCCCTCGGTCACAGTTCACCAGCTTGGGGTTCCCCTCAAATCAGTGCAGCTCTAGCAGCTCTGATCAGAAGGGGAGCCATGTTGTGTTACAGCTCAGCTTTATTTTATCTTTCAATACAATGACAAATTCCCTCCAAACTGAAAATCGAGAGTCACGTGCACTGTTGTACATATCAGGGCACGTGAGTTTCATGCAAAAGAGCTGTCATTTTGAATTTGCTAAAGTAACGTGCAAATAATCACTAGTTTAAAGCAGATTGTGTCAGGCAGATGCTACAGATATAGAACAGAATAATCAGTTTTAGAAAACAATCCTAATTCAGAATAATTTAACCTGGATTGGTACACCCTGGATGAGCAGGACTAAGGAGTCATGCATGGATTTCTGCTAGCATACTTGTTGAATTTCTGGCTGGAAATATGCCTCTGTCTCTGTTTTAGTATGCCCTCTTGAGCAAAATTCTCCTGGGGTGAGATGATGAGTGCTTCAAAGTGACCCATCTGGAGCCCAACGTGAAGAAAGCACTTCCCCTGCCTGGAATTTGTGTGCAGTGACAGCTTTCTCCTGCCTATCCAAATTTCCCAAGATAGCAATTATAAAGGAACTGGCAACCATACAGTCAAGACAACAATATCCTGCGTGGTTTGGTTAGCTGTGCCAATTCCCTCTATTTGCTGGAGTCAATGTGCTGCCCCCGTTATTGCTATGCCTCTGTGTCTCTACCAACTAGCAGATCCACTGGGCACTTTGGCACGAGCCACTCTTCCAAGGGCTGCCTCCTCAATTGCTCATTCACACTCTTTTGCTTCAAACATTCAGATCCAACAGCAGCGTGTAAATTTTATGCAAAGTAGCATCTGCAAGTCTGACACATTCACTCAGGCTTCCCTCTCTTACGCCAAGTTAAAAATAAATACGCTATAAAGTCTTGGGCCTGCTAAGACAGAATAGGCATTCAGAGAGTTTTTTAAATATAACTGCTAAGAGCCTTTCTCTTTTAGGGTCAAACTCCTTATTTTCCCCTTTGTCTCTCATGTTTTGTTCCTGCCTCAAGGATTTCAACAGCACTGGGGGAAAAAGCATCCTAGAAATAACCTACAGAAGAACCAGTTCTATGTGTTCCTAACTCTCTTACTTGAAAATTCAACTAATTTCCTATTTTTAAAACCCAGAAGAATACAGGTGGTGATATACCCTCAACATGAAACAAGAAACCAGTAAAGCAGACTCATTTCCAATACTGATTGCGAATAATACTAGTTGAGTTGTATCATAGGTTCAGATTTCAAAGGGTCTCCACCCCCCACGCTAGAGCTGCCTTCTGTTTTCTCCAGGGAGAAGCAGATTTGTCCCTGACCAATACACTTGAACAGGTGAAGTCATAGGGATGCCAACCAGACAGCATAATGATGAAATATATCTTAAGGCAACAAGGAGAAGAGTCTGTAAAAGGGGATACTGAGCCACTGCTGAGGTCAGTTAGGACTTGCTGAGTCGCTTGGCCACATCTGCATAGGCTTGCTCAATTTCTTTGTCTGCTGCACAGGTGTTGGTGAATTCATCCCTGGCATACGCGTTCTTCAGGTACCGCCACAGCCCCGTCATCTCTGTTGGGAACTCAAAGTTGCGGTATTTCTTTGCAACAATCTAAATCAAAGATAGAAGAGGAAAAAAAGTGTCTTATTGGTGATATAGCTCCAGATTCCTTTTTAGAGAGGTTCTTACTCTTTCTTGTCACATAATTAATAGCAAAGGAGAGAAATACTTGGAGACTCAGGGGTTTATAACAAAAAGGCCTGAAAAGTGGCTGTTGTTTGTCCCCTATCTTAAAATCATAGACTCATAGAATGTTGTGAGTTGGAAGGGACATACAAGGATCATTGAGTCCAACTCTTGTCCCTGCACAGGACAGTCGCAGGATTCAGACCATGTGTCTGAAAAGAGAAGAGACCAGCGCCTGCCCCTACTCTTCCCCTTGTCAGGAAGTTCTAGACCGATGAGGTCTCCTCCATCTTGCAAGGCTGCTACTTGGCCTAAGGACACTCTAAATCAATGGCCTGGCTACTGTCACCAAATTATGACTTTTATGGTAACTGAATTTAATTCATTTTACAATATTGTTTTTTGGTGGATTTTACCATTCTTATGTACATCACTTAAAGCTGAGATGCCACGTAAGAAAGATCTGATTAGCAGAATCATAAAAAGCAAGATAGATTTAAGGGAAAGGCATTAGTAACAATTATATATAACATATTTTCATATTAACTATTATATTTATCACTATATTATATATTTCCTATGCTGTATTTCTATTTTTAATATATGTAATATATTTTGCCTGGTCAGCTATCCTCTGGTGTCAGAGGATGTAACCATCTACAGCTGTTGTAAGGCTGTATCCATGTTCATGCAAAGGAAAAATTCAGGGTGGTATGGGTACCATGGCTGAGAAACCAAGATGATTTAGCAGACATTAGAAATGGGAGTATTAGGATAAAAGGAGGGGAAAAAATGGTTATTTCAAGACTTGTTACACTAGGAAATTGTCTATCAAGGGAAATTTTCGATTTCTAAAACACTCAGGGCCTTATTCAGGAAAATAGTTAAGTACATACTTAATTTTAAGCACCTGTATAGTCCTATTGAAGTCAATGGGACTAATCTGTGCTTAAAGCTAGTTGGTTGGTTAAGTAGCTTGCTGGACTCGGATATTTCAGTTTTCCTGAAAGAATATACCATATAGAATAATCCTGTGGTGACAGAATGAACTAGCTGATAGGAAGGGATGGATTAGCTGATTTAATGAGTGCTTCTAATTTCTAATTTTTCTGACAGTATAAAATTGTTCCTGGGCATAAATTACACACACATGTGCCACAGAGTTCCCCTTTATTTTTAAAGCACATGGTAGAGCTGTTTTCCATCTCAGATTTCTTAGGACAGTCGTGTTCTCAGAAATGACTGTGATTTTTTTTTATTACCAGGCTCCACTTGGTATTTGCAAGTCCAAATCCTGTTCTAAACTGCATTTAATTAAGCATTCTTGCTTTCATTGATGCTTTACACACACATGGGGAAGAGAAAACCTGCTGGGCAACTTAAGATTTTCACAATTTCCAGTGCACATCTTCCATCAAATAAAAAAGTCTTAATAATTTACCCTTTTTTCCCATCTGTAAAATGCTTTTCAGGCAATATCCTATGGCTATGCTTGTCTGAGAAAGACTCTAATTCTCTTTTGACATCTTTCACTTCATCCCAAGGAGACAGGAACCAGTAAGAGGCCACACATTCATTTTGCATTGTCTGGCACTAAGATCACCAATGAAGATGAGCCAAAGAAAGAGCTAAACTTGTGACAATATTATCACATTTCTTACCTGGTGACTTATGCACTTTTTTTTTTTTTTTTTAATGTGTGCAGGCAGCTCCCAGGCTCAGTTTATGTTTTGGCTCATGAAGCCAAATCAGATGCATGACTTGGCTTTCATTCCTAGCTTTCTTACTTGCCAAGGTCTGCCAGGTACTTGCTTTCTTCTAAAGAAACATGTAAGCTGATAAATTAAATAAATGCAACATTTAGAAGTCAAGATGATGTACACCTTTTGCACTATACCAGCAACCAACATACATCTTAAATCCTGGACCTCAGTGGTGACTTTGATTTGTTAACTTCTCTGTATGAAATACCAGATGGAACAAATATTCCCCAAAATGACGGACTGCTGCTCGTAAGTTACAAATGAGTGGAAACTGACTAAAATTTTGACATCTCTCTTAAGAATAATGGGAACTAATTAATAAGAAATATGCTGCTACTTGCAGCAGGGTAAAAATAAAGAGATTGGATATCTAGATCTTAATATTGTCTTCGTCACTAATTAGTGATGGGACAATTTTCCCATGTTCTAAATACAAAGTTGCTTAAGTTAACCTGTAGGAAATAAAAAGGAGCAAAATGTGTTTCAAACTCTGCTCTTCTAGGACTTAAGATGCTTCTGGTGAAATACACATTGGCTTTGGCTCACGGCTGTCAGAGCAGGGCACTTCGATGTCAGATAAGGCTTCTTTGACCATCACATGACATCTTTTACCTTGACAACATGAAGTTTGGGCAGAAGGTTGCAGTCAGCAAGAGTCAGGTCATCTCCATCCAGAAACTTGCGTTTAGACACTTTCTCCTCTCCAGTGCTGTCTGCATCAATCTCCTCTGGCAGAGGTGTTCTCAGATAGTCATCCAGCTTCTTCAGAGCCTTCACCAAGCCTCTTTCCAGGGCTTTGCCAAAAAGCAACAAATAAGTGATTAAGGCAGAGTAAGGATTATTCAGAAACATTCATTGTCAATGGCTATGGTAGTATCTAGAAAAAAAAGCCAAGAACCATTTAATTGTTGTAACTTTGTGCTCCAATGCCTACACAATCTGATGACAAAGTAACCCAGCAAGGTCTGCCTGAGGATAAAGCCCATCCTGCAATGGAAAAAGAGGACACAGGAAACTGTTGTTTCATGTTTTCTCCTGACTAATTAAAATAAAAACAAGAAAAAAAGCAAAAACATAAAACTCCCCACAAAACAGTGACAGGGATCATGGAAGGAAAGAACAGTTTGTCAGTATGATATACCAATAAAACACAGACACCCTATGATATTTTTCTGGTCTGTGGACACTATCACACAGTAAATCGGAGATCTGTATTCCACTACATTATTTTTCTAAGCAGCCAGGTAGGACTTTAATGAAGGGGAATTTTCTAGCATAACTTCAGTTCTGAAAAGTTTTAGTTTTACTACTTTTAAACCCCTTCTAGAGTAATTAAAGGCAACAGCAATAATTCCAGGGATGCTAACCAGAGCTCTACAGAGCTGGAAGTTACACTACCACTGAAATGAAAGCAATATAACAATAATTAAATACAAGGCTATAGAAAATAGATGAGAGATTCAGACATTGTTAAGATTCTCCTCACTTCAGGTTCAAGTTAGGTGCAAATTCTCTTTTTAGTATGTCTCAAATCAGGTATCACAAAGAAGAAAAGACTTCGAACCTCTCACTTCAATTACTAAAGTCCATGTCTCACACCACTGCTGGCTCCAACAAATTCCAGGCTCAAAATGCCACTTAGACATAATAAACAACAGAATGCAACTTTTTTACTGAAAAATATCAAACCAGGCACAGAATTTGTGTCCTTATGTGTTACCAGCTGGATAATAAAAAAAACTAGATTGCAATAATGCACTTAGAGAAAGCTGAATGACTGTACACAGGTTTGTGTGTTATTTAAACTGCGAACACGCTGGGGCAAAAAGGATCTTTTGCATCTCTGTTCAACGGGTGACAAGCACAATGTGGTCCTGGCCCCTGACAAGTGCCCCAAAGTGCTAAAGCAATATAAATAAGAAACAGCAAGAATTTACAATGTGAAAAAATAACAACATGACTCATGGGCTTAAGGCCAGAATTTCAGCTGGTGAAAATTACCTGCAGTGATTTATACCTGCTGGAGATCTGGCCTGGAGTCAGCATTTAAGGTCTAATCCTGTAAAATCTTATATCTCTGAGTAACTTACTGCCATTTAACTACACAATGCGTCAAGTTACTCAGGCGGTGCAGCACTAGCAGGCCTACGGAGATAAATATATTTATGGAGCACAACGAAAGCTTCAAAAGGGATCAGTGATCGCCCTGCGTAGAGCAGCTTGCTGGCACAGGTAGCTCCGTTGGCTCTGCTGTCAGCCACCCCTGTGTTTTTGGCACAGGGAGAAAGGCGGCAGCATGTACGGGGCCATTGAGAAAGCAGGAGCTGAACACCACAGAACATGATTTCTCTGCCGCTCTAACATCCATTAAACCTTGTGCCAGTGGTGGAAGTCAGATTAAGCTGCCTAATGTCTTGCTGCCACTGAAGCCTCCTGGCCAAGCACCAGGGAACCACACCAGCTCTTTTGTGGCTGACTCTTAGACACAGTGGCAAATCCTGGCTTAATTGGTTGACTGGAGAAATGACTGCGATCCAACTGAAAGCACCCCAACAAACATAGCAGGGAGGGAAAGAATTTTATTTCTGAAAGCAGAGCATCTAAAGTGACTGAAGTGCTGCCATCCATAAAACAAAAGTGTTGCCATTCCTTATTTAATCAATTCAAATTGAATTTTGACACTGACATTCTGCTGTCAGATGCCGGCAGTGGTGTCTTTAATCGTCTGCAGCTGTGCTCTGCCGCACAACTTCTGCTGAAGGGTAATAACTGCATAGCATGTAATATACCCCCATGTGGCAACACTCAAAAGATTTAGCAATCTCTTTTTGGTCTGACCCATAACACCTGTTGAATAGATAGTTCTCCTTCTCTTGGTCAGCCTCAGAATACGTCCTCTTACAATTAATTCATTTTGAAACAATGGAATCAAATTACTGTGATTTAATTCAGTTTTGCACATTCAGATTTTAGGGAACTAGCTGAGCACTTTCCAGTATTCCCTTCACCCAGTAGGACTGTTAGTTCTCCAACTCATCTGTGCAATATTTCCAGTATCAGTACTACACTAGAAGTTTTCTGCTCACCCATGGAGTCCATTAAGTGTGCATATGAAGACAGGAGCATCAGGTGAGATGTGTTTATGTAACTTTTCTGGAACTTATTAGGGTTGGGTCTGGTTGTTGGGTTGGTTTTTTTTTTGCTCTTATTGATCTATCAAAGTGCGTCATGGCTGTCTCAAAAACAATGTCTGGAGTGAAGCCTGTTTGTGACAGTGGGAAAAACATGTATCTGAATTCATACTTGGCTCTTGCATACAGCAGCTTTAGGCCACAAATAAGTGTTATGTTCAGGGTTCTAACACATCTGCGACCTAATTCACAGGCTCTGCTGGGACCCACAGGATCCTGAGATCTCCCAGTGAAATCACCACCAGGTCAGTATCATCTCATATACTGATAGTCAAGAACTGGACTGCTACTTGTGACTCCAATGTCCCCACTAAATGAATTAAAACTCTTCAAATCCTAGTAAATCTCTCAGAACAGCCATGAAAACAGAAGAGTAGTGAACAAGGGAGAACTGCCTTTCTTCCAACTGAACAGTGACAGAATTTTGAAAAGCGAAGAGAATTAAGAACCTAAATTGCCGTTCAGATGGAGTTTTGGTGCTCAGGGACAGAGTTTTAAAGCTTGTCAATGCTTTTAAAGTCTTTTTTTTTTTAAATCCATATACAAATATCTATGTTGCAAATACTAATTTCTAGGTGCCCTGACACATTCAGATTTATCTGTATGATGTGAAGTCTTAAGTTCCTTGAGAAAGTGCTCAGAGAAATCCCCTCTCAAAGTAGGAGGATGTGTAAAAGAATCTCAAAAATATCAAAGCAAGAGGTTTCTAAGCCCCACATCTCAGAGAGCGCCAAGTGCCTCATGATGGCATGGGTGGGAGAACTGACCTTATGGTTGAATTCACCAGTGACACCCCAGAAAAGAGAGAGGTATCAAAAGCAGGTTGGTTTTTCCTTTCTTACAAAAAAAAAAAAATAGTGGGGAAGTGCTGTGGTGTTACCAGTGGTATAGGGAGAACATTTTCCTGGAAAGTGGAAGACTGAGTTCAAATGTCTTTCCAATGTGATATCAGCCCAGATCTGCCAGATAAGACCCCATCAGTGGAGTATCAGGTAATTTGTACAGCTCTTCTGTTGAAGTGTTTCACTTTTCATAAATAACTCAATATTTATTGAGGTAGGTAGTGATAGGACAAGGGGTAATGGCTTTAAATTAAGAGAGGGGAGATTTAGATGAGATATTAAGAAGAAACTATTTCCAGTGAGGGTGGTGAGACACTGGCCCAGGTTGCCCAGAGAAGCTGTGGCTGCTCCTCCCTGGAAGTGTTCAAGACCAGGCTGGATGAGGCTTTGAGCAACCTGGTCTAGTGGAAGGTGTCCCTGCTGATGGCAGGGGGGTTGGAACTGCATGATCTTTAAGGTCCTTTCCAACCCTAACTGTTCTATGACTCTATGATTCTGTGATTCAGTGGATCATGACTGAAGGCTGACACCACAGGTAAAAGTCAGAAAAAGTAACTCTCTCATTTTCTCTCTTATCTGGTCAATATTTAAACATTATGTGAAAGGTAGAAAAAAAATGTAGAGACCAAGAAATAACCTCCTCAAAATATCTCATAGCTCTGAAGGCTTTGGGACCCTTGCTGAGGAAAG